CCCTTTCATAGAGTCTATTCTCCCGAAGCTTCACGTCCCGTTCCGCGTTGCAACCTCCGCCAGAGTCTGCAAGGCCACCGGTTCTGTTGATCTGGTCGCTTCACGGAGAGCACTCGTACTCCTCGTCATGGTCTCATGATATAGGCCCTATTATGTTCTAGATGACCCAGAACATTGCGGCTTGTCTTTTACTCCTTTAGTCTTCCCTTTGTTCATACCAAACCACCTGTATATTCGGTTTTTTTTTTTTTACCTGAGACTGAGCACAGTTGATATTTAATTAAGTTCTTTAAATACTCCTCTGGTCATTAATATAGGACTCAATTCTTGAGTTAGTTTTGGTTCTAAATATAAGACCCATTTTCATATTTATCAATTTTCTCTAAATTACTCTTATAGATACTCCCTTAGTCATAATCAAGTAGAAGAGGGAGAGGGGTATTAAGAAAGATGATTATGGTGTTTTAGAAAAAACGTGTCACATTTCTTATAATTAACTAACTTACCTAACTTCTTTAATCTAATTAAATTAATTAAATAGATCTTATATTAAGAACCGGAGGAATATTTAATTAGGAGTTTGATCCTGACAATGTCTCGTGACATGTACTAAAATCCTTTTCAGAAGTTATGATGTGAGAAAATTAGTTATTGTTGCTAGCGATGAATGCCTTAGGTTCAACCAAAAAAGGGGAAGAAAAGCCCTGAGGTTTAATCATAAACTCCGGCTTGCAAAATATACACCCGGTTTAATTTAGTGGCAAAATAATAGTAATTCTGTTTGTTGAACTCGTTACAACCATTTGCGTCTGAATTGGTCTAAAATTCAAACTTTCTCGATTTGAATGCTTCAAATGTGAGACTTTGCTGTCACGAAGACAGGGCCCACCAAACATGAATCATATGGCCAGTGAAATTAAATGAAACTCAGGTGCAGCCCCCCCCCCCTTTTGTTCGCAGGTTCGCAGGTTCTAGACTTTCCAATGACAGGAATTAAAATTTATTACTGTGTGGCAACTACAGAACCTGGCATTTAAGAATTACGCGTTTTCTGTTGTTTTCGCGTGGACTCGTAATAAGTTTCTCTCCTCTTGTATGGATCCTGTATAAATGTACGGAACAGTTCTTCATACAGTAAGCAAGTATACAAGTATAAAATCACACATGATTTATAAACAGCACGTCTTATTAATTTTTTTCCCTATATTTTATTCTTAGACAGATAAAAGTTTAGGCTAGTTGAGTTTAACAAAATCTTGTACGTTAATATTAAAATAAGTTAAAATGCAGTTAACAGAAATATTTGTTCCACATGATGAGGCGTTGGGTTGGGGGGTTTAGGTTCAGCCTTGCTCTTTATAGTATATTTCGATATAATTATGTGAGGAGAAGTCAAAAGAAGTTCGTATTGAAGAGCTGTAAGACATGAGACGGATGCGCGTTTAGAGGGGGATCAACGTGCAAATAAAAGAACCGAGAGCTACAGTTTAGTCGTACAAGATTCGTTTATCTATTACCCATGTTGTTGGTAATTTAAACTTTCAAAAAATAGTTTTTTATTATTTTTTTAAAAAGGAGGGATCCAGGAAGCTGTCAATTCATTTCAATTCAGTGTTGAAAGTCGCGATGATACAGTGAATCGGACCATCGGATCATCAGCGTTTCACGTGTCTTCGGGAATTTGTTAATTAACAAACGTTCATACTTAACAAGAAGTAATCAATCATCAACCCCACTGTGTTAATTAAATAATACCAAAAACATATTATAAATTAACATGTGTTACCTCTGGTTTTAATCATAACTCAAAGTTAATTACTTTAACCTTCTTAAAGAAATAATAGTAGTGGGAGCTGGTGGTTTTAAACTTACAAAAGCATGTAACTTTTGGATTTTGTTTTTCATTAAAGTTAATGTTGACAATAAAGTGCCATATTAAACTTAAAAACATACTAATTAACATAAAAAACAATGAAAATAAAAATAAATGAAGGAGTGGCATAATTAAAAAAAAAAACTCCTTTGATCCTTAATATAAGACCAATTTAATTAATTTGATTAGATTAAGGAAATTAAGTAAGTTAGTTAATTATAAAAAATGTGACATGTTTTTTCTAAACCACCATAATCATCTTTCTTAAAATTCGCTCTCCCTCTTCTACTTAACTATAATTGAGGGAGTATCTATAGGGGTAATTTAGAAAAAATTGATAAATATGAGAAATGGGTCTTATATTTAGGATCAAAACCAACTCAATAATTGGGTCCTGTATTAAAGACTCGAGGAGTATGAATTTTACATTTTGATTTCATAGTTAAGACCGAAAGAAATATATGGTTTTGATCATACTCCTTCCTGAAATATAACTTACAAGCAGAGGCTGATCATCGTCAATTCATGCGACGGTAGATCATAAATAAAAAATAGGGAAAATTTCAGTTAAGGACCGCAGAAGACAATTTATATTAATCAAGGACTAAAAATTTCTGAAATTTTACTGCAGGACTAAGGGACCAAATTGAAATTAAAATTTAGAATGAGATTACAATAATATCCCTTCTTTTTTATTTTATTAAAAAATAAATATTAACCGGAGATACTGTTCCGACCACCGGAGGTTGGAGGTCTAGCCACTGACGCTCAGGTGGCCACCGTCGGGAGTCCGGCCACCGGTGGCAGGAAAAGTAGCTCCGGCTGACCTCCGGTGGCCGAAATTTTTTTTGTTTAAAACAAAGTAGCCAAGGGAGGGTTTGAACCCATGATCCCTTGGCACATCAAAAGGTTTGCAACCACCAAGCCAAACAATCCATTCAAACATAAAATGCAAATAAAAATACATATAACAAAACAAACGCAATTGTTTGAGTATAAGTGAACAAGTGAAATTAGATGATTTACAAGTGGAATTCAGCAATTTACAACAAAAATTAGACAATCTACAAATAACATAATATAAGTCATAATCCCAAATGCAAGTGTTTAAATGCAAATGAACAAGTGAAATTTGAAGATTTACAACAAAAGTTTATGGATTTACAACCCAAATTTGACAAACACAAAAGAATGCACAACCCAAAATGTAAGTGTTTGAGTGTAAGTAAACAAGTGAAATTTGACGATTTACAAGTGGAATTCAGCAATTTACAACAAAAATTAGACAATTTACAAATAACATAATCGAAGTCATAACCCCAAATGCAAGTGTTTAAGTGCAAATGAGCAAGTGAAATTCTCTTGCAAATCTATAAACTTTTGTTGTAAATCTTTAAATTTCATTTGCTCACTTATACTTAAACATTTGTATTTAGGATTGTGAGTTCTATTATGTTATTTGTAAATTTCCTAATTTTTGTTGTAAATTATCGAATTTCACTTTCAAATCCATAAACTTTTGTTGTAAATCTTCAAATTTCACTTGCTCGTTTGCATTTAAACACTTGCATTTGGGGTCATGACTTCGATTATGTTATTTATAAATTACCTAATTTTTATTGTAAATTGCTGAATTCCACTTGTAAATCGTCAAATTTCACTTGTTCACTTACACTCAAACGCTTACATTTTAGGTTGTGTATTCTTTGTGTTTGCCAAATTTGGGTTGTAAATCTATAAACTTTTGTGGTAAATCTTTAAATTTCACTTGCTCATTTGCACTTAGATACTTGTATTTGGAATTATGACTTCAACTATGTTATTTGTAAATTGTCTAATTTTTGTTATAAATTCCTGAATTCCACTTGTAAATAATCAAATTTCAATTGTTCACTTACACTCAAACACTTACATTTTGGGTTGTGTATTCTCTTGTGTTTGTCAAATTTGGGTTGTACATCCATAAACTTTTTGTTGTAAATCTTCAAATTTCACTTGCTCATTTGCACTTAAACACTTGTATTTGGGATTATGACTTCTATTATGTTATTTGTAGATTGCCTAATTTTTGTTGTAAATTGCTGAATTCCACTTGTAAATCGTCTAATTTCACTTGTTCACTTATACTCAAGTAGTTATGTTTGTTTTGTTATATATATTTTTATTTGCATCTTATGTTTGAATGGGTTGCTTGGTTTGGTGGTTGCAAATTTTTTAGTATGCCAAGGGGTCATGGGTTCAAACCCTCCCTTAGTCACTTGTTTTAAACAAAAAAAATTTGGCCACCAAAGGCCGGCCGGAGCTACTGTTCCTGCCACCGGTGGCCGGACTCCGGTGGTGGCCACCTGAACGCCGATGGCCGAACCTCCTACCTCCGGTGTTCGAAACAGTATCTCCGGTTAATATTTATTTTTTAATAAAATAAAAAGGGAGGAGTATTATTGTAATCTCACTCTAAATTTTAATTTCAATTTGGTCCCTTGGTTTTACAGTGAAATTTCAGAAAATTTTGATCCTTGATTGATATAAATTGTCTTCTGCGGTCCTTAACTGAAATTTTTCCTAAAAAAATATGGCATGAGCTTATTTTTATTTAAAAAAACAAAAAGGAGGGCAGATGATGACGAGAGCAGACGTGGGAGGAAAACGTCACAGGTCTGTCTCATCCAGGGACAGCCACGTTGGAACTTGGAAATGCAGGAACAGTAGCGACGCGTAAGGAGGTTTCAGATTTTGAAGATTCCTGGTCTTCGGTGTTCCCCAGGTTCCCTTCCTTCACTCCCACTCTCTCCCTTCTTTTTTTTCTTTCCCCCCCCTGTAAATTATTAAATGATCGAGGGTCAATCACAAGGAAGCTTTGTGCATTAGCGATTTAGCATAGAAGGGTCAGCAATTAGACGTCTCATCCTCATCCTTTCAAATTTCAACCCCCCTAATTTCTATGACCAAAGACTAGTCTCCCCCCTCCCTTTTTGAATTTCAACTCTCCCATTTTCTCAGTCAAACTTTCCCTCCTCTTTATTCACTCCTTTTCTCCCTCACTTTCGTCCTTCAAGACCAAGCATCACCTTCTTTAAAATCTCACTTACGGACTCACCTTCATTCTCCACCTTAATCTTACTATAACCACTTCGAATCGTCTAGGACACCACACACAAAAGCTCTGCTACTGCAGCATAAACCTCCACTTCATTTCTTGTCTGTTTAAACCATCTCCTATCGACGTCTTTGCCTGAATATATCTCAAAACCCAATATCGCATACTTGGCCGTTACACGTGTCGTGGGTATATCTTTCGGCTTTGGCTCTGTTCATCCCCTGTTTTGGCCTTCTCTCTGACATGTGTCTGCAGAAGCTCTGGGTCTGACGCCGTTCAAATTGTTCCACCGAACCTTCCACCAATAATTTGGGGTATAACTGTAAGTCCGTCGCTGCACAAGTGAGGTCTGGCTGGGACTGGGGGCTTCATGGACAAAGTCAACATGGGAGAGTGGGAGAGTCGGCTTATCAACGAGCTAGTACAAGGCAGGGAGCTGGCAAGGCGACTTCAGATGTGCCTCCACTCGCCGTCTTCCTCCCCAGAAACCTGCGAGTTCTTGATCCAGAGAATCATAGCCGCATTTGAAAAGGCACTTGCAACGGTAAACTGGAATGGTGACGCATCGCACCTCACACGGGTCGGAATCGTCCCAACTTCTGAGTCACCACCTTTTAGTGGCAGTCCTCGCAGCGAAGACTCTGACAGGGATTTCCAAGACCAAAGTGCCTCCAAAAAGAGGTACGTACATACGTACAAATGTGTGTGTGTGTGTGTTCCGATAGCGAATGTTAATTTATACACCTCTCCAAGTTATACCTCGTTAAGGGCCTAGTGCTGTCACAGTTTTCTGATGTAAATTTTTTCTCGGATCTATCGCAGAAGAAGCATGCCCAGGTGGACAAAACAGATTAGAGTTAGCCCAGGGATGGGGGTGGAAGGGACTCTTGACGACGGATATAGCTGGAGGAAATACGGCCAGAAAGAGATTCTTGGAGCCAAGTTTCCCAGGTGTGTGTATATATATACATGTGCCTCCAGTTTTATCAACTATATGTGGGCCATTTGTGGCTAAAAATTATACAACTGCATTTGGTGTAAATGCAGAGGCTATTACAGATGCACCCATAGAAATGTTCAAGGATGCTTGGCCACGAAGCAAGTGCAAAGATCTGATGAGGACCCCAACGTATTTGAAATCACCTACAGAGGAACGCACACCTGCTCACAGTCATCCAATGCGGTTGCTCCATCTGGCACTCAAGAAAGCCATGAACTGAATCCGAATGCTGTAGATCCTCAGCAACATTCACAAGAGCAACTACTTTTGAACCTTCGAGCTGGTCTGAGAGTCCAAACCGACAATCTAGATGTCCCCGCCCCGGAGCAATCCTCATCGTTTACCTCACTTATATTTGGTTCAACCTCCTCCATTATGGATCACGAAAACCGAATGTTTACAAGCTCCATGCTCGAAAACAATTTTGCCGACAACCTCACTTCTGATCCTTCCTATATGTCCCCAGCCACATCAGGAATAACCAGCTTTTCCGTGTCCCCAAGTGGAGGAGTCAATAACATGTTTGGTGAGATGCCAAATATGGCAACTACTTCTGGGTCTGAGATCAACGACATAGTCTCAGCCGTTACTTCCGCCGCAAATTCCCCAACCGTTGGTTTAAACCTTCCATTTGATCAGTTCGGATATGATGGACACAGCTTCACTTTTGATAACCAGCGATTCTTCTAATTACTTTTGCATATTCAGAATAACCATATCATAGCGGGAAAAAAATGCAGAATAAACATGTGATAAGGCAGCAAGCAGCTGTATTGTTTCTAGAAGGAACCGGGGGGGGGGGACATTATGTCTTGACCGCTTGTCCTGCATAGATGGGCCGGTCAAAATCGTTTTAGCTTTCCCATCGCCGTTTGATTGAATCATTCAATTAATTATAGAGCTTTTTCTTGTTCATGGCCTTCCCAGAAGCTAACGGTTATTGGGTTGGTTACCATGTATGGTTGTACGAGGAAGAGTGAACCAGCGATGCATTAACTTTTGTTTCCAACAATGGATCATAGCTATGAAAAGGAATGTTCAATTTGAAGATGCAGAGCCTGGCACAGCAAAACCATTCTTCTCCGATTGAAGAACAAAATTCTTTCTTGTCAGCAAAATAACCATAGCTGGATCATAAACGGCCTTGTATTAAGAGGAGTCCGTTCCGGCAATGAGAACTGGCCCATATCGGTCCACTAAGAAATAAAAGCAGAGGACGCCCACTCTAGACATGTTTTAGGCCAAAAATAGTTTTCATCAATGTGGGCTCACATCAAATCTCAATAGTCCAGACTGTCCCTTCATCGGGTAATTTGGTTCCCAAGTCCGCCTAACCCAACCAAGGGAGTGTTTGACAAATATGAAAAGTGTTTTTTTTAAAAATGTTTTTGTAAATTGAGAATTCTTCTATATATTTATTTCATATACGGTTTTAGTTTCATCCAAACACCCCAAATTCGCATCTTCTAACCTCCAAAAAATATGGATAGTTAATTCTGGGTCGACGGAGGAAGCTGCTTGCTGAGCTAACATTAAAGTTCCAAGAAAATTTTTCCAGTGCTAATTCAAGTGAAACTTCTCCTGCACATAAGCGTTTTCTGTTTTTTTTTTTTAATTCCCTTCACTTCAAATTTTCAAAGGACTACTCGTCTCTTTTATTTCACAAACCCCATATATGATGGGAAAGAGTTTTGCCCAGGCGCTGTGATTAATGTTCTTCCAATCATAATGAAATGACCTAAAATAGTACTCCCTCCGTTCCTTATTATAAGAGACAAATAACCGAAATACGTTGATCAAAAAAACAGTTAAAATTAGTTAACAATTAATGTGTAAAAAGTATAATTTATTTTCCAAAAACCCTCATTAATAAGCAAAGAGAGTAGGAGAGAGATAATTAAAACATTAAAAGAAGAGAAGTGGGAGGGAGAGAGTGTGAGTTGGAGATAATAAATATGGGTAAAATAGGAAATCAACACAAAAAGTAGAGACAACTTTTAAGTGTCTCTTATATAGGAACATACCATAAGCATTAAATGTCTCTTATAATAAGGAACGGAGGGAGTATAACATAATGGTGAAAATTAGGTTAGTGGGTCTTCCAAGCAAAAAGAGGGCCATTTCCCAGATGTAGTTTTCTCAAACATTTTGATGGGGGAAATACGGTGGGTCATTTTAAAGGACTGTGTACGTGTGTGTGCATATATATATATAGAGAGAGAGAGAGACACACACACACATAGAGAGGGAGATGCGTGGCTAACTTGGGGAGAGATAGTGACGGAGATCCAGCATTTATTTTATTAGTAGAAGAAGGAGGCCTGTTTTGAACAATGTTTGTAAAATGGTAGTTGTGTGCGCGTACAATTCAATGAGCCTTCATTAATATGGTTGGCCCATTCTGAGAATTGTTACTTTTTTCCCCCTCTCTCCTTTCCTTCCCCCCCCCCCTCATATTAAATAATGATGAACGTATTAAACCATAAAGAACTAATAAACGTACACTTTGAATCTTGTTAGGTTAGAGGGGAGGTATCAAACCATAAAGATCCATATTTTGATTCTTAAAAGTACTTGATCCCCAAACCCATAAATTTTGTCCATTCCTGTCTTCCAACGGATAAATAAATTTGATGAGCATTCATGGGGTCTAATTATACATTTAGCTCATCCCCAATAGTTAGGTGGCAGTACTAGCTAGCAGATAGTAGTATATAAAATTAACAAAGATGAAGGCGTTTTATTTTGGAAGACATAACTAATTGTCTAGAATTTGCTTGATCTCATATGTGGGAATGAAATGACATTTGAGTTCACACTCTAAATTTCGAACTTGGCAGCAGTCAATTACAAGAACCAGCTATGACTAACACCTCTTGACCAATTACAAGAGCCAGCCACAAGAAATGCAAGCTAATGGCTGTGCAGGTATCTACTATGTACGCACTAAGAGGATATCAATAGCTTTTAATATTAAACACTACAAACTCGTGAAATACTATTAAATAAATTTTGAATACTCGGAAAAAAAAAACTTATAAATCTGACATATTCAAAATTTATTTAGTAACATTAACGGGTTTGTGTCTAGCGCGCCCTGTTACCTTAATTATTTCCCGAAGAAGTCACGAGGGAAGCCCATGAGGCGAGAAAGTTTGCTGGACTTGTTGAGCCAGATCCTCGGCACTGAGCTGGCATTCAACTCCAATCTACACATAATAAGAATCAAATATTCATAATTAATTACAAGACCAATAAGAACACGTCGTCAATATACAAAAAAAGCATACTCAATCATGTCTTAAATCCGGAAAAGTTGGTGAGTTGAATTCCGCATCAGTATTTAAAACACAAAGACATATATAGCTGTAACAACGATCGTTCTAACGTATATATATGGTTTACTCAAAATGAAGACAACGCCTCTGCAAGATATCATCACGATTCCTGATACCCAGACAGTACATATCCAGTCAATAATATACTGTTCAGTAATCAGCGTGCTTTGATAATGTTTTGCACAGTTTCGGTACTGTCAAAAAACATTCACCATTATATTCTTACTACCACACCAAACTTCAGCCAATATGTCATATCGCCGCTTTGATTCAAAGGCTAACGGGCGTATACATATATTTTTTTTAATTACAGATTTCGAACATAGAGAAAATCATTTGTATGATCTTAAAAAAGATATATTTGAGTTGTTTGCGTACCTTGATGGTGAATGAGTTAAGTACGCTTTCTTCAGTAGCGGTGATGGTGACCTGAAGGATTTCGAGTGCCAGATCTTCAAGAGCGGAGATGATTTTTAAAGCTTGTCCAGGGATTGGAGGAGATAGAGTTTTTAAGAGGACGTGGGGCCCCGAGAACTTAACCTCGACGTCGGCAATGGGAGACTTGGAGTTTGCGACGAGCTCGTTGATATTGTCGTTGATGGAGGAAGAAGCAGAAGATGTGGGAGATGGCTCCAGAGAGCTGGATAGTCTGGGGTGGGGCTTATAGGGGCTACCTGGCTGTGGTGTGCCTGGGCTAATGGGCAGGTTTAGCCTAGGGCTCACCGGTGGCATCACTCTGGGAGAAAGCCTTGGGCTTGACACGAGCTTAGGGCTCAGAACCTCATTGTACACCTTTCTCTGTTTCTTGGCCTCCAGGGACTGCAGAAGTTGCTGCAACTCGTTGATGTACTCCACCACTCCTCCTATTATTGATGCTTGATCGCCCTAATTAACAACCCATGCACACATAAATATGTGTGTGTGTGTGTGGCAGGAGTAAGTTATTTACTTCACTGTTGAGAATATTTTTCGAAGAAATAGAGGCATGCATTGCAGGTAGAGTTAAGACTCACTCGTTTGACATAGAAGCAAGGCATGAGGGACCTCAAGACGGACAAGTGCTCGTTCATTTGCTTTCTTCGGTTACGCTCCACAGCGATATGAGATATCTTAGGTTCTTCGGATGGCTCCGAAAGCTTCTGTCTCTTGGTTCTGGGTGTAGTTTGAAGCTGAGTTAGGGAATCACATTGGAGAGCGCTTGTGGTTTCGTCGTTATTCTCTTTTGAGGTAACGGTAAGGGATTCTTCGACGGGAGGAAAATTGGTGAAGTCTTCGAGGGAGTCCAAAATGGCAAGCAGATCGTCTCCACCCAAGTCCAAGTCCTTGTCTTCAAAAATATCAGGGAAGCCGGCGTCCATGATCTCAGTTTTCTTTTTAGGGAAAGCTATGAGAGAAAAGGACTGAGGATTACTGGGGATGGTTAAGACCAAGGAAAGAAAATAAGATGTCACTCTCACGCTAATCAGCAAGGGTGTACCGCGCACTGAATCCCATGGAATTTCGATGCAGAGAGCAAACAGAAGCAGTATCAGACTAAAACAGAAGCAGTATCAGACTAAGAGCAGAACAATGCAGAAAATAATTTAAAGAAGATGACTCAGCTCAACGAGAGCAGTTATAGATGAAGAGAGAGGGAGAGGGAGCACAGAGAAGAGAGAGAAAGGTTCCCTATGACGCTGAGAAGGGAATATGTTGAAGATATAGTACTCCTACCGTCTTTAACGTAGCACACAATTGTTAAGTTGGTTTTTACCATAAATATAAGATCTATTTATTATATTTATTAATTTTTTCTAAATTACTCCTATAGATATTCCCTCAATCATAATCAAGTAGAAGAGAAAGATGGGGTATTAAGAGAGATGATTATAGTATTTTAGAAAAAACGTGTTATATTTTTTATGATTAACTAACTTACCTAACTTCCTTAATATAATCAAATTAGTTAAATGAGTCTTATATTAAGGATTGAACAAGTAAATTAATTGAGAGCCAGTGCTGAATATATGTGTGTGTGCGGATGTACGTATATTATTCCTTGTTAGTTATTTTGCTCCACTTAGTAAGCACTGAAACTTCAAGATATATACATGCATCAACATCACCAATGGCAATGACCATTATTTTTGTTGTTTTTTTGGGGGGGGGGGATAGATGGTTGTGAAGCATCACAAAACCATTCATTAATATCCCTGTTCTGGTCCTTTGGTCTCTGCTTAATTACATTGTGAATGAAGGAAGATAGTGCAACAGTCTAGGATAAATAAACAAGTGGAACGTAGTTGTGTATGAATCCTATCTCTCACAATTAGGTATAGATTGTAAGTTCACCATTTTACTTCATTTCTTTATCGCTTTCTAAATACATGCATGCTATCCCATTTAGGGTATGTTTGGATTGGCGTTGGCAAAACTGACTTCTAACTCAACTAACTTTTGTAACTGAAATTAGAGTAAAAGTCAATTAGTGTAACGTAATTTATGTTTGGATAGATGCTTTTAAAAAATCAGTTAAAAAAGTTAAAAGTTGTTTGGATGATTAATAGAAAAGTTAGTTTAGTTGTAAAATGACTGAAAAGGATATGGAGTAGTGTTTGAAATTTTATATTTTTAATGTGATAATAATTTAAAGAAACACGTTAAATTATTATGATAAAATATAAATAGTTTATTTGTAAAATTATAAAATAAAAACATTTGTTACGGAGAAAAATTTAAAAATATATTGTAGATAATTAATTAAATATACATAATGAACAAACATGAATATAAATTAAAATTTATCTGGTCTCTAATTAAAGTAAATAGAATCACATAATTAATTAGATCATAAGCTTTGCACAATTTTTCCATAAGTCAGTTAGAAAAGTTGATCCAGATTACGTTGGATAAGTCAATTAGAAAAGTTATTTTTTTTCATAAGTCAGTTAGAAACAAAGCTCAATCCAAACAGTCTTCTGAGCTACAATAAGCTACAAACCTCAATTTCACGCTTTCCCTTGTGCTTTTGGCATTCTAAATGGTAATCCAAACGAGCCCTTATTTTGTAAATGCAAGGTCTATAGCTTCATTCAATATATTTTAAATTTCGATAATCATTAAAGAACAATGAAATGTTTAAAGTTGAGTACATGCATACCTATATAGCTAATTAATACTACCGGGGGATGTCATGAATATCTCATGCCTATCAAATGGAAAACGTAGTGCGTGCCCACTCAAATTAAATATCTACACTGAGCCTATTTTCGCACTCTCATCTTTACTCCTCAATCCCTTAGCTGCTCTTCTAGTAGTATTCTTGTATTACTCCTTTGTACCTCCAACAGCTTCGACCGCCTACCCCATGTACCCAAACCGTCCCTTCTTGTTGATTAATTCACTCGAAAAAAGAAAAGAAAAGAAAATTAAGGTGGCTTTTCCATGTGTGAAATTAGCCAGAGAAAGTTATAATCTCATGGTTTCATTTGAAACTTTTATTACTTGTAGATTCACTGTGAGTATTCAAATTTTTAAATAATTTGGAGTGGCCGCGTCAGTTATAGCAGTGCTGATAATAAGTATATACTATCTCTGATTTTTAATATAAGACTTAGTTGATTAATTTGAAGAGGTTAAAAAAGTTAATTAAGTTAGTTATTTGTCGTAAATAGATATTTTATTTTCTAAAATGCCTTTATTAATCATATGTGTTTGAATTACAAATTGATGATAGTTTCTTAACATATGCAACCACTATAGAGATTATTTGAGAAAAAAATAGATAAATATTAGAGATAAGGTGAATTAGAATCTTATATTTAGGATTAAATTAAAAATTAAACTAGTTTTTATATTAAAAATAGAAGGTAGTATATAATTTTAAATCTTCAGTTTGAGAGACATTATGAATTAATTCACAGCGAGTTAGCACACAGGGCGCCCGCGCACATTAAAGAGCAGTAATTAATAGGGGTAACTACATGTGTCTGTTGTGAAGATTCAGAGATCTGAGTAGTCCCATCAGATTCAGATGTACACAGAAGCTGCGAGAGAGATGACAGTTCGAAGAATTTTGGGGAGAAGTTAAGTTACCCTCTTTATAGGGAATTAAACTAGAAACAAAGCAGCAGCATCTATGTGACTGTTCAAGGGAAAAACCGTAATAATAACAAAGCCTAAATAGGAATATCGATGTTGTTGCCCACGAAGTGGTGCAATATTGTCCCCCATAGCCATCACTTTCCCATACTTTTTAGATTCTATCCAAAAAGCCTTATTCTTTGTATGATTAAAGTCCTTCCACATTGAGATATTAGAGTATTAATAGTCAAAGCTATAAAACCTTGAAGTGGTCCGTTTACAGTAGGTTATCAAGCTATTTTGTTTCGACGTAAATTTACCAGTCTCATTAGTGCCAAACTAACACTCCCTCTGGTCCTTTTTCTTCCTTTCACGTCTGTATAAATTTATATATATGTATATATCATAGTTTCAAATTTACAGGAAGAATTGGGCGAGTTCTAGTTATCTAATTGAATCGATTGTGATTAATCAAAGTTTGAAAATGGATCATCTGAGGAAGCAATGAAGAGGACAAAATGCACAAACACGAGCGTTGATGAGATAGAGGAGCGAAATAAATGTGGGGATGACAGGACAAAGCAGAGGGCAGCTGCGACGATTAGGACAGAGGCAAAGTTCAGCAACTTGTCTCCTTCCTTTCATTATTTATTATGAAGAATGGTAGGCTTTCAATATGGAGGCACGACATCTCCGTGTCCCCAATGATCCCTCATTGCAATTCCTATGAATTAAACTTAATCACTATATATATATATGTATATATATAAATGACAAATACACATACAACAGATCCATACAGACAGGCTCTCTCTCTCTCTCTCTCTGTGCCTCAGTGAATGAGAGGTCATTATATTAATGTGGCAGGGTGGGTGGCACAAGTGTGTGACAAATAGGTCGGCAGCAATTGCTGGTTTCAGGCTTCATTTTTGGATTTTTCCTCTCCAAATGCGTCCATTTTTTCCCCACTCATGCTTCAATTTCCATATCTACCTCACCCTCAACCAACCCCTCTTTCTCTCTCCATATACTTAACAACATGCCATTCCCCAAACCAATTAACTGCTCCTTCTGTTTCTTATTATAAGAGACATTTGATGTTTATAACATATTCCTATATATAAAAGACACTTAAAAGTTGTCTCTTTTTATTTTACCCATATTTATTTTGTCTCCAACTCACACTCACACTCCCTCTCCCTCCCATTTCTCTTTCTTTTAATAATTTAATTGTTCTTTCTTATACTTTCTCTCCTTACTAATGAAGGCATTTTTAGAAAAAAAATTATACTTTTTATACATTGATTATTCTTAACTAATTTTAACTATTTTTTTAATCAATATAATTCGATTATTCATTTCTTATAATAAGAAACGGAGGAAGTAACTTATTAAAGACAACAATATCGGACGTTTATTGATCACTGGTTCCTCATTCTCCAACTGTGTGATGCATATAAAAGACAAACGTCTTTTCTACGTGTGTGCATATAGATATTAGAGGATTCTTACCAAGCTTCAGTGATTTTACTTGATTAGTCGTCAGATTTTCATGGGAAAAAGGTGATGCTTAATTAAACTGGGTATTAGGCTGCAAACATCGTTGTAGCTTCTAGGTTATAGTTAGCAACATTCGACTTTTAAATCATCGACGTCATGATGCCGAGCTTCCCGCCCGTTCGTTTTCACTCTATGTGCCATCATACAAACTTGTTAGGGTAAATCGCACATGCCACAAGGGATTTAGGAACCAAATGACGTAAGGGGTCCCTAGCAATTAGCAAAGGCCTAATCCCCAGACAAATATTATGGGACAGACAAGGGCGAATTGAATGTGAATGTTTTGAAACCTAAAACCCATCAAAGCTATTAATATGTCCGCAAGCTAACATGATGAGAAAGTGACATTACGTAGCTTTTATGTTATATGATCCATCGAGGGTGAGCGGGCTCTTCAATATGTAACCCTACGTCGATCTACAAGGTTGAGGACTAACAACGACTGAGTTTAGGTTGGAGCTAGGTCTGTTATATAGTGTTCCATAATTTATATGTTCTGAGATATTGGTCAAACAAGTTTTTAGCCGCAATTCTGATACAATCATAAAACCGTCCATGCTTAGGGTTTTGAGGAGCTAGGACCAACTCTGAAAAGCTAGAGAGCATCTGGCGACACAGACGCCCATCAAATTAAATGGAAACAAACAAGTGTGACTATTAAGAATGCTTAATGGGCAATGGCGATCCCCAACAGAATGTATAAATGTTGGGGAGAATGGGACAAAATTTGAAACCA